TGCCCACCCAGGAAAGCATTTGGTAAGGGAAGCCTGAATTTCTTTCAGGACCTAAGTCTAAGGACTTTTTATTAAGGTAATAATGTTAAGCATGCCATCCACGCGTGCTCATCTTGACTTTCTCTTCCTGCAAAGTACACAGATTACTTCTCATACTATCAGGAAAATGGCCAAATTAACCTGAGGTCAATTGCTAGATTATCTTTCTCTGGCCATGATATGACTCACTGACTTTATTTGCCACTTTCTTTTTCTTTTAATTAAGCATTTGGAAAGATGCGTAGTTGTTATTTGTTATTTGTTAACTGTGACACAGACAGAAGTGTGTGTGCACTCACACACTTGCATGTGCACACACATGCATACACACTCAATACCCAAAAGAAACAACTTCAGGGAAGAGAAGGTGAGAAGGTAACTGAGGTAGGAAAGGAGGGGTGGCAGGGGCATCCCATTCTGTGGTGGCAGGAGCTTGCCACAGGGCTTCCACACTCCTCGCTACGTGTCGGAGCAAGAAGTAGAAAGTGGCTCCAGCAATGGGGTGGAACCCTCAGGACCCACTCTTGATGCTGTCTGTGTCTTCCGGCTGGGTCCTTTGTTCCCCAAAGTCTCACAGCCTCCAAAAACAGCAGCTGAGAACCAAGTATCAAAAGCAGGAGCCTGTGGGCACACTCCATATGCAAACCACAGCAGGAAACAGGAAAGAGCATGAAGCCTGAAGAATACTAAGTGTAGTTGAAAATAAGTTTTTGTTTTTATAAAACCGAGTTTTCTTCCATGGAAAGTACCCAGAGCTCTGTGGAGGAAGATGAGGGTGAGAAAAGTTGAACTGTGAGACTGCTCTCACACACTCGAGAGTTCTGTGGTCCTTCTCTCATGCCTGGCATGAAGGGAAGCAAGATGGTTCTCACCAGCCCTCAAGTGCCAGGCCGTCCTGCTGGGGCCTTCAGAAGCAGAAGCTGACTGCACCTTGCCTGAGCTTTTTTCAGTCAGCAGTGTGGCAGAGAGCATGAGAGAAGTGGGTAGACCAGTAGGCAAGACAGCCTAGCCCTTGCCACAAATGCAACCATACATAGGACTTTGAAGGGGAAATGGAGGAGGCAGCGGTGGCCAGATGGGGATCATGGCAGAGTCAGTTCTGAAGCACGGAAGAGAATGTCCACGCTGCTCTGGGCCTTAAAGGACTTCCTTCCTCTGGTTCTCAGAACAGGCCTCTTGGGAGCATGCGGTCGTGACTGTAAATCTACAGTGGCAAACTGTGTTAATTTGACTGAGGAGAAATACTAACCACATTATATCAAATAACTGCCAGAAATAATTCTCCACCATGCCCTGTGACTTTATTTTAATTGATTTTTTTAAACTTTCAGTTTCTGTGATTTTTGTTTATTCTGACACATATTTATTAAACGCATGAAGGAAATGGTTTTGCAAATTATTTTTAGGGCCTTTTCTTTGTCTTGGTTAAATTGGGTTGGCTAACCTTCTCTTCAGAGTTCCAGTCTAGTTTCATTTTCAGACTTGATGCTACTGATATGTGGCTTTTGGGACCCATCATGGGTGCAGCTTGACCACATCAGCAGTCTGTACAATTACGCTGTACGGTTAGCAATATCATTGGCTGTTTCATAAAGATTTGAAAGTGAAAACCGAATGTGATTGAGTGCTGTGAGATAGGTTCTTATTAGGGCCCCTGAGCTAGTCTGTGGAATAAATCACTCACTGTAACATTGTAACAAGGGATAATGCCTCTTACCTTACTCACTTTATGTTGTATCCGTAATCAAGCCTCAGGGGTGCCTCATCTGTCTGCTGTAGAGCCGGAACCTCGAGGTGGACCTTCCTGGAGACATAGTTCTGACAGGAGAACTGACCTGCCAGTATTGCCAGTAAAGACATATTCAGTGATGGTCTGGGGAGGTGCCCAGTGTTGATAAAGAATTGCCACACAGGCATGAAGACTGGAGCCCCAGATCCTTAGCACCCCGTTAAAAGCCCGCAGTAAGCCCCAGGGCTTGAGAGGCAGATACAGGGGATCCCAAGGATGTGGGTGGCTAGACAGACTAGCAGAATCAGTGAGCTCTGGGTTCCACAAGATACCCTGCCTAAAGTAGAGAAAGTCAGAGCAGTCAAGGAAGACACCAATAACCTCTGACCTCCACATGCATGCACATGCACACATACCCACCCACACACCACACATACACATGTCTTAAAAAAGGATATTGAAGATAATCTCATTTTCTTTATCTATTCTCTGCATTTACCTTGATTGCAGATGTTTAGAAGTGAAAATGCCTGTCCAAAGAGACCCGAAATAATAATGATGTTAACCAAAGTGCTGTGCTGTGTAACTAGCATACACAAATGCTAACACCAAAGGGTAGAACTCTTCCTGTGATACCGAGGAAACAAGCTCCGTTTTCACAGAGAGCACTAGGTGTCTGCATCCCTGATAAGGAGCATGTGTGAGAGACACAGTCCTGTCCACAGGGGCTGCCTTTCTCATGCTGGTGATACAAATGATGAGTAACAAGTTTTCAGGAGGCTGACTAGTAAGTGGCAGCCCCTAAGAGGGGCTGCAGGTACTCAGAAGCAAAGGAAGATAATCTATGCAGAGTTTCCTTTGAAATAACACCTCGACTGACTTAAAGCTGAGTTGCCCAGCAAGACCTTTGAGATTCTCCAGCAGAGTCAGTACTGGCCCCTCCTTGGTTGTCTGCAGGGTCGTGACTTCTGTATGTGACTGAATGTGTGAATATTAGTACCTCTGTAGAACTTTCACTTACAACGTAAATTGGATATACACTTCTTAAAATGATAGTATATACTACCGTTTTTGTATTGTGATGTTTTTCCAAAGGAAGGGAGAGGAGTGTCTTGAAGGCTTACTCTTATAGAACTCAAGGCTGGACAGAAAGGTCCTTTGTTTTCTTCACACGGTCCCTGCGGTCCAGGGTTGTTATCTTTGTAAAAAGAGTAATTGCTAATTCAGTGTCAAAGACTGGTGGATTTTTTCACCTGAGTGATCACCAGCAGCTTTGGAGATTTTTAGCAGCCCTGATTAAGGGATGTTGTCACAGCGCCACTGACAGAGCATTTGTACCTCTAAGCTTTCAGACTCCTCCTCGGCTGTCAACACTTGGGCTCTCTTTGGAGCCACATCCTCTCCCGCTGCGTGCTGCCTGCAGCTCGCCCAGAGCTCTGCTGTGACGAAAAGGTCCGGTTTCTCGTCTCTTCCCCTTGTTCTCATTCAGTCTTAAAACCTCCTTACAGTCCTTTTATTCTGAAAAGTACACACACACATTTGTCATCTCTTAAACCATTCCGATATCTAAGGATTCCAAAGAAATGCTAGACATCTCAACGAACAACTGATTAGAAAGGAGCCTGGCCATGTTAATTGTGAACTATGGTATAACAAATACCAAAACACAGCTTTCTGGATCTTTCCAAAACCTGACTAAAGTCCTGAGCATGAAGGGCAGTAGGCTGATGTAGAATTAAAAAGGATTTATGAGTGAGTATATGTGTTACTGTGATAGGCTTTTAGGTTATTTTTGTCATGGACAGTAGTTCTTTGATTGACATTTCATTTATTAATGGTTATGCAGTTTTGTTATTGTTTTCATTTTTTTTTTTTAATGCTTGACTACCTGAAGCCACTTTGTAGATATTTGTCAGACATAGTTTATAAGGTGGATGAGAGATGAGCCTCAGGAGTCCGTGAGCAAAGAGACAGGTGTGTGCTAAAACCTCAACTTCTTTAGTCGACGCCCCAGGGCAGCACAGTGGGCAGAGCCTTCTAGTTACAGAGGCTCTGACTCATCTGGATTTTAAATGTTCTTTTTCAAAGAAGGCTGGGGAAAAAAACCCTCAAATTTTATTGCATGGAAAACATTACAAATAGTCTTAAAATAGAGCTAATGTTCCGTGTCCCCACTGAGAAGCACTCAACAGACAATTGGGCCTTTGTGGGCCTGTGCTATCTAATCTATGAGTAAGTAGCCACATGTGGCTAATTAAATTTAAATTTAAATTAATTTAAAAATCAAATAAAATTGAGAATTTGGTTCTCATTGCAGCAGCCACCTTTCAGTGCTTGGTCGCTGCATTCGGCAGTGGCCATTGTGTCGGTCCCTACAGTGACGCGACCGACCGTTTATCACAGAAAGTCCGCTTTGGCGACGCTGTGTAGGACAGTGATGGAAAGCAGCAGGCTGGTTATTTGCTGCATTGTGTTGTTGTCTTTCAGCTAGAGTTTTGTTACCATTTTAAAATACCCTTTCATGGAAACAGGAGCCATGAATTTGAAGCGCTACAGTAAACGTTCCCGCATTCGTCTTAGTAACTCCTGCTATGGTATCTAACAGCTTACAGCTGGACAAATGTGCTCTCCCACGAGATGAGCTGAACCATGGGGAGCAAAATGTGCCTTGCTTTCAAGTAGGGCAGAAGAGGAAAAAGTCTGAATCAGAATTATATAAAACCTGAATTTGAGTTTTTATAAAATGTGTAACAGTTGCCCAGTAAGAGAACATTTTTAGCATTGGAAACTTGGAAGAATCTTTGTGTCACAAAGGAAAAGGCAACACTTAGAAAATTCTGTGGGAAACAAAAGGAATTAAGAATATAAATTATTCCAAATGAAAGCAAAGTGTTTTCTTTTCAAGGCTGTTTTCTTTAAAAGGTAGCCCATTATACAGAGTTGTAAAATACAGACAAGTGTAGACTTTGAGGTAAAATTGACTTAGACTCCCATCAGAGATCAGCTGTCACTTGGAACGAGTCAGCATATTCTCCAGTCGTGCAGAATCAG